TTCTGTTCTTAGAATTTAAGTAATAAGCTATAACAAATCTCTTGCCATCTCCTCATCTAAAGTGACATGGTTTTGAAATTTGAACAATCTCCACCTTTTACTTCGACACAAAAGTGCATAATTTGGAATCTGGATATATACTAGATTTTATCCTTCATACAACCTGCAACCAATTGACAAATAAATAAATCTGAAGAACCATTATGGGAAAGCCTTGATAACCTTGTTACTCTAACCTTTTAATGTTTTCTCCTTTGTGATACCATCGGGCTAAACTCTGCACTGCTCCCCAGCCAAATTCTCCCGTGATGACACCAGTCACATGGAGGGAACATCAGTTCTGGCCATTTAACCCACTACCTATCTCCTACAGGGTACAGCAAAGGGTCTCCCTGCTTCCCTCACTGTTCAGCACACAATCAAAATGACCGCTGCCTACAGATCTTCAAAGTAAAAATACAAATAATCTCATTTCCAATACTCCCATGCTGCAGAAATTACTTGATAGATTGCAAACCTGATGCTTCAGCAAAGAGGACTCCAGTGAGAACACTGCTGTACTCTCTTGTACAGGCACAGGGATAACCACAATGGCTGCATTTTCTTCCTTAACTCTACCCACATTACTAGGTTTTACTATGTTTACTAGATATTTCACACAGGTGTCAAGTAGGCTCCCTAGGACAGTCTGCAAAGACACTGCCAAACCACAGCCTGCAAACGCTTCCAAATACAGATCTTTAAAGGCATTAAAACAAACCTCAAACCTGCTTATCTGATGGCTATGCCTGCTTTTTAATTTTTTGTTTCCTTTGGGATGGACTAACACTTCTGCCAATCAAACACTGCCAAAATGCCACATCAGTTTATGGAAATTGCTGCTCCCCAAAATTACATTGTTAAAACATGAGGAAGGGGGTGGGGAAAGGGAACATCTGTGATCAAACAGGTGTACTGAAAAAGGTGGTGTAACCAAGTCCTTTATCTCTTACACATTTATTCAGAAGGACAAGTTTCTGGTTACTTTAAATTCACATCTGCAAAATGGTGTTGTATGACCTAATCACAAAGCTGTATGGTGAACATCACACACACTTGCTCAAACACATTACATATGGGACTGCTTTAACATAACATTATTTGAAAACATATGGCCTAAAAAATAACCTACAGTGCATGGCATATAGTTCTACAGGCTTCTTGCTAAAGAACATATTTTATCAAAATAAAGATGAATGAGATCCCAAAATATTCTTTGGGTGATTTTCTTACAAGTAGTAAAATCTTTTACATGGTATGTCTAAAGTTTTCTCTTTGAGGCACAAAAAAAAAATATGCAGACACTAGGATTTCGTAAGAGTGAAGAAAATGTTTTCCACAATATAATTATATCTAGAGCTTCTTCCAGCTCCAAATTATTTTGTGCAAGCATTTTGGTAACTGAATCAAATATGTGAAAGCAAACAGCACAGTGAAGTAAATTAGAAATAAAAATGAGAGTATTTAAACCTAGTGAACCAATTTTCAACATATGGAAGGACTGAAAATTCTCCCATTAAATTAGTTAGTAAAACCAAAATCAGTAGCACAGGCTAATATAAAAAAAAGATTATATGAGTTAACCATTAAAAAATGTACCATGTAAATTAGATATCGGAAAAATAGTAAAATCAGTAGCACAGGCTAACATACACAAAAAATTATATGAGTTAACCATTAAAAAATGTACCATGTAAATTAGATATTGGAAGAATAGTAACAGTAAAATGCCATATACTGATGTTGCACAAAAATGCTTTTTTGCAAGAATAAGCCTCAGGTCCAGTTTTGTTTACATCTTCAACACATGTATGTATCGCATTCATGAAGTTACCAATTACATTGAACCAGGAAGAACTGCACATAAAAGGGAAAAAATAAAAATAATTTAGTGCCCTCAGAGCTCAGAAGTTCCAAGCTTATAAAACCCAGGATAATCATGAAACAGGAATTAAGTATCTAGCTGCAAAAGAATCATAACAACATACTGAAAGTGAAGAAGAAACTTAAGAAGCAACAATGCTCAAAGTTATTTAAAACAGTTGTCAGAAATAAATATGATTTGGGTTTGCGAAACATTAGCCAGAAGACCAAAAGTTTGGTCTTCCTACACAAAAGCATCATGTTGGAGGAAAAAAAATCCAAACAAACAAACCCCACACTTAACAGATGACCTTCAGACAAAGTCCAACAAATCATCCATGTGGAATGGTGTTGCAGGCACCAAGCTGTGGAAAACTGAGCTAAAAAACTGAAAACAAGAAAAAGTTGTGTAAAAAGAGCAGACTACAAAATAGCTTGAAGAAAGTGGAAAGGAATGGAAATACACAGCTAGAACCAGTGCGTGCCTGCAGGTTCCAAATTACAAAGATGATGAGGAAGATGTAAAATGGCACAAAACATGGCTTAGAATACTGGCATGAAGTTACAAAAAAGAACTACTAAACATCACGTAAATCCTCCTGTCAGTGAGACGTAATTGTTGAAATAATCTTCGAAAGCAAGCCTAATTGTTTAGAACATACATAAAACCTCACTGGCCAAGACAATATTAAAATGCACAAGTCTACAACCCTGCTTTAGCAAGCAGATGGACTAGATAACCTAAATAATTTTTTCATCCCTAACTCCTATGATGATGTTCAGAAGATCTGACAGGCTCATGCACAATACCCTGCAGTCCTACAAGTATGTGAGCAAGTACAGTAAAAAGACATTGACATCTATTATGAAGACCAGCACAAAAATATATATACTCCACAACCTCTTTGTAAGGCTACATTTGTTTTGTTTTGTTTTTTAAAGGCACCTCATCCTCTAGCTATTGCCAGCTTTTAAAAAAAAAAAAAAATCACTTTTCCATTTGAGCAAGAGCTCAATAGTGAGAAGGAAACACCTTTCAATTCACATTTCAACAGCCACTTCTTACATTCGAATTGTAATCAGAATGACAGTCTTTAAAAACAAGCATGCCGGCCTATTAATTTTATGTACAGCAATTTAAACAACTGTAACTACATATTGTATTGTGTAAGCAAAAGCACAACATTCATTTCATACTCACACCATTACCCTTTGTATACACAAACTCAAGAGAACTCTTAATACTAAAACATTAAAATGCATCCATGGAGTCTTCCCTTACTAGACACATTTAATACATGTTTACAATATATATACACATATATAATATACATAACTTTTAGAATTTTTCAAATAAATCTTTGTAATTTCCTCTTCAAAAAGAAATAAAATAATGACACTGAAAGAAATACGAGTCAAGTACACAGAACTCTCACAAAGTTGAATGCTCAGTTTTGCAGCCAAGTTTCCCCCTTTCCATCATAACCAAAACACTTTATAAAAACTAAATAATCTGGATTACTATTGTAGTCATCTGTTTCATGGTAAAAGTTCTAATCTTATCTATGGAAATATATTGCATATCAATATGATGAAGTGACGTATCTGAATATTCTGAGCAATAAAAGGTATTCCAGGATATTTTAGCAGTAAATATAATGTGTTGCAGGCTCAAACAGCACAGGTCAACTTTTTATTCTAAATAATACAGTTGATTTAAACTCTGAGATCAGCTTCAAATGTGGTCCCATCCCCAAATGCCACTCTAAAAACAACACAGTCAAACCCTATATTGGTGTCTTTCAATGATTCCTTTTTAAAAAGTGTCAGTTTAAAGGTAAAGATTTATTTATCAGTTTCCAGTCTTAACCTCAGGCTGGTATGTAGAAGAGTTGCGTTGGGTTCTTTCCTACTCTCATCAGCACCAGAAATCATCTCCAACAGAAATTCTGCCTTGTATTCCCATTAGAGGAAAACACCAACTTCAAGCTTATCAGCAGTAATAACTCTGATGATGACACATAATAGAAAAGAATTCACTCACCTCCCTCTTTAAGAAGGGATAAAAAGACTAAAAGATCAGATTAAAAGTTATTTGTTATTTAAATCAACAGAGAAACTCTGATTTCATAAACAAAGCATGTCTGTTGAGTAATTACAAGAAGCACTCACTCTTCAGGTAACCTGATCAATGGCACAATATGCCCAGTGAAGTGGACAAGTTTAAAAGTTCCACAAATGGTGAAGCTGGAAAATACCTCTAGAAGTAGCAGAATCTCTCAAACTGACGGAACTTTGTATAGTTCCCACCTATTGCACTAGTAGGACTCATACACAGCATCACGTATAAGTTTAGTTTTCAACATAAATATTTCACTGTTACCCTTAATGCCCAGAATGATACCCTTTTTAGCAGGAAAGCAAGAGGAGATAAATGTTTGATAGTAAAATTGTAGGACAGCTTCTTTGGAAAGGTTTGTGATAATTTCTTGTGCCAGATCTCCAAGAATAAACAGCATTATAAATCTGAATAAGTTAAATCTGCTACTACAGTATATACAGACTGCTTCAGTCTGTTGTTAATTGGGACTAGACTAAAGGCTCAGCTTCTAGCCACGCGCTAATACAGTCTTTAAAAAATTATATAATTTTTTTTGCAAACTAAATATTTAGTGTATAACACAGAAGATGTAACAAAAACTTTACTGCATTTTAATTTATGTTAGTAATTTGCTTTCTTTTAATTGCATTTATCTTAGGCTAGCAGCCAGGTGGCTGAGATTAACTATCCACTACTACTCTCTGAACAAGATTTACTTTATTAATACCAAAGGAATGACAAAGTACCTCTCACATGACACAGTAATGAGCATGTGAACTGACACTTTTTCCAGGTGATTTAATTTTAAGTACACTAAGGTTCCTCAATAAAAAGCATCCTAGGAAGTTTCCCTCCTTTCCTACTCCCTGATGCAATTAGACCCCTTCTTTCCAGTACTCTGTTTTATTAATAGAGAATACATAGACCTAGTTTCACCCAAGGCCTGCCTGGACGAAAATTCACACCCTCTGAAATAAAAGCATTTCTTTTGTTTTTTAACTATTTGAAACTGAGAGTTTCCAAGCTCTCAGCACCAGCTGAGCTCACAGAAACCAGAACAAACGTCAATTTAGAAAACACCACCCTGCAAAACTAAACACTTACAAACATTCTCTGAATTACAGGGCAGGATAAGAAGACTCATGCCCTCCTCTCCTCTTTTGTGCAGCTGGCTAAATATATACAAAGCTAGAGTTGAAATGGAAGCACTCTGTCATACAAACACTTTAGCCAGGGCATCTGCTCCTGCACTGGCAATATAGCATTTGGAGGGGTGGAATGCCACATCATGAATGGACTCATCAAATTTTTTGCGATGAGCAGTAAATTCTTGGATACAGGTCTTGCTTTCAAGATTCCACAAGCGAATTGAACAGTCATGACCTAAAAAAAAGAGAAAACAGTTGTCTTTATAATTCTCATGTCTGCCACCATTATGAGAAAAAGAAAATGAAATTTGAATGTACTTACTGCCAGACATCAAATACAAGCCATTAGGATCAACAGCTAAACTTGTAACTGCATCTAAGTGAGCTACCATGGAGTGGATCAATTTTCCTTTGAAAGAAAAGATTTATTTAGATTATTTTCTGCAATTTACTTTGTTATCTGTATTCACTGCTTAAACCCTACTGCAGTTCATATTATAAATACAAGATCTTGTTCCCGTGATTGAATCATTAAAATTTTGCAGGAAGTAATTCTTTTAATGTTTACAGTCTCAGGAGAGCCACAGTACCACTATCACCAACTTTGTTAGACCTTTGTTTTATGTCTGCAAAACCACCGAGAAACTGCAATCACTGTGCATTTTAAGTATCTGCCCATTAAGTGAATTAAGCAAGTTCAGGAGTAAGATCCTGACTGGGAAGGAGGGCAGGGGCTAAGTATACTAATAAGCAATGAATATAAACTACATAAGAATATGGGGTAACTTTAGTCAACTCAAAATTAATGTTCTATTACAGCTTATTATAATTACAGTAATGATTTCATGTTAAAAATAAGAAATCATGGGTCAAATGTGGGTTTTTTTGTTGCAGAATATAATAAACC